TAAATCAAAATTCATCTCAACTTTAGATCATTTAGTTGTAAGCTGTTGTGTCTACACCAGGTCATTAGTTTGTGAGATTCCTGCTCATAGACAGACTCATCATCATCCACCACCACCAGGGGAAATCTTTAAATCAAAATTCATCTCAACTTGTCTTTAGATCATTTAGTTCTAAGATGTTCTGGCTACACCAGGTCATTAGTTTGTGAGATTCCTGCTCATAGACAGACTCATCATCATCCACCACCAGGGGAAATCTTTAAATCAAAATTCATCTCGACTTTAGATCATTTAGCTCCCAAGTTCTCGCTATACCAGGTCACCAAGTTTGTGAGATTCCTGCTCATAGTCAGACTCATCATCATCCACCACCACCAGGGGAAATCTTTAAATCAAAATTCATCTCGACTTTAGATCATTTAGCTCCCAAGTTGTTGTGTCTACACCAGGTCATTAGGTTGTAAGATTCCCACCCACAGTCAGACTCATCATCATCCACCACCAGGGGAAATCTTTAAATCAAAATTCATCTCAACTTTAGATCATTTAGCTCTCAGCTGTTGTGTCAACACCAGGTCATTAGTTTGTGAGATTCCTGCTCATAGTCAGACTCATCCACTACCACCAGGGGAAATCTTTAAATCAAAATTCATCTCGACTTTAGATCATTTAGCTCTAAGCTGTTCTGTCTACACCAGATCATTAGTTTGTAAGATTCCTGCCCATAGTCAGACTCATCCACCACCACCAGGGGAAATCTTTAAATAAAAATTCATCTCAACTTTAGATCATTTAGCTCTAAGCTGTTTTGTCTACACCAGGTCATTAGTTTGTGAGATTCCTGCTCATAGACAGACTCATCATCATCCACCACCACCAGGGGAAATCTTTAAATCAAAATTCATCTCGACTTTAGATCATTTAGCTCTCAGCTGTCCTGGCTACACCAGGTCATTAGTTTGTAAGATTCCTGCTCATAGTCAGACTCATCATCCACCAGGGGAAATCTTTAAATCAAAATTCATCTCAACTTGTCTTTAGAGCGTTGAAGGGAAACAATAAAATAATAAAAATATATATTATAAAACAATAAACAAAATTCTCACGACGTTTCGACCGTAACACAAACGGTCGTCATCAGGTGTGAAAAACCTACGGCAAGAAAACTTTTTAAAGTTGTGGCGGTCCGCGTTAAATAATGTATTTATTTATAAAAAAATGTATTTTTATTTACTCACACAGGTACAACAACGCGCGGTGACGTCACCTCGCCCAGGTACAACAACGCGCGGTGACGTCACCTCGCCCAGGTACAACAACCCGTGGTGACGTCACCTCGCCCAGGTACAACATCGCGCGGTGACGTCACCTCGCCCAGGTACAACAACGCGCGGTGACGTCACCTCGCCCAGGTACAACAACGCGCGGTGACGTCACCTCGCCCAGGTACAACAACGCGCGGTGACGTCACCTCGCCCAGGTACAACAACGCGCGGTGACGTCACCTCGCCCAGGTACAACAACCCGTGGTGACGTCACCTCGCCCAGGTACAACATCGCGCGGTGACGTCACCTCGCCCAGGTACAACAACGCGCGGTGACGTCACCTCGCCCAGGTACAACAACGCGCGGTGACGTCACCTCGCCCAGGTACAACAACGCGCGGTGACGTCACCTCGCCCAGGTACAACAACGCGCGGTGACGTCACCTCGCCCAGGTACAACAACCCGTGGTGACGTCACCTCGCCCAGGTACAACATCGCGCGGTGACGTCACCTCGCCCAGGTACAACAACCCGTGGTGACGTCACCTCGCCCAGGTACAACATCGCGCGGTGACGTCACCTCGCCCAGGTACAACAACCCGCGGTGACGTCACCTCGCACCGCTGCCACAACGCGCGGTGACGTCATCTCGCACCGCTGCCACAACGCGCGGTGACGTCACCTCGCACCGCTGCAACCACGCGCGGTGACGTCACTTCGCACCGCTGCCACAACGCGCGGTGACGTCACCTCGCACCGCTGCAACAACCCGTGGTGACGTCACCTCGCACCGCTACCACAACGCGCGGTGACGTCACCTCGCACCGCTGCCACAACGCGCGGTGACGTCACCTCGCACCGCTGCCACAACGCGCGGTGACGTCACCTCGCACCGCTGCCACTACGCGCGGGGACGTCATCTCGCACCGCTGCCACAACGCGCGGTGACGTCATCTCGCACCGCTGCCACAACGCGCGGTGACGTCACCTCGCACCGCTGCAACAACGCGCGGTGACGTCATCTCGCACCGCTGCAACAACGCGCGGTGACGTCATCTCCCACCGCTGCCACAACGCGCGGTGACGTCATCTCGCACCGCTGACACAACGCGCGGTGACGTCATCTCGCACCGCTACCACAACGCGCGGTGACGTCAAACCGCCACTCTTACCGACGCGATGACGTCGGAGCGCGCGGTGACGTCACCTAGCACCGCTGCAACAACGCGCGGTGACGTCACGCGGTGGGCGGGGTTCCTCGCGCGCCGATGACGTCACTGGAACCAGGAAGTCGCCGTTAGTCCCGCGACGTTCTAGAAACGAAGCCTCGCGCGGGAGGAGGGCGAGGAGATTGGAGAGAGACAAAGACGGACGTGGTGGTGGTGGTGGTGAGGTGTAGTGGTGAGGTGTAGTGGTGAGGTGTAGTGGTGAGTGTAGTGGTGAGTGTAGTGGTGGTGAGTGTAGTGGTGAGTGTAGTGGTGAGTGTAGTGGTGGTGAGTGTAGTGGTGAGGTGTAGTGGTGAGTGTAGTGGTGAGTGTAGTAGTGGTGAGTGTAGTGGTGAGTGTAGTGGTGAGTAGTGGTGAGTATAGTGAGTGTAGTAGTGGTGAGTGTAGTGGTGAGGTGTAGTGGTGAGTGTAGTGGTGAGTGTAGTGGTGAGTAGTGGTGAGTATAGTGAGTGTAGTAGTGGTGAGTGTAGTGGTGAGGTGTAGTGGTGAGTGTAGTGGTGAGTGTAGTGGTGGTGAGTGTAGTGGTGAGTGTAGTGGTGAGTGTAGTGGTGAGTGTAGTGGTGAGTGTAGTGGTGAGTGTAGTAGTGGTGAGTGTAGTGGTGAGTGTAGTGGTGAGTGTAGTGGTGAGTGTAGTGGTGAGTGTAGTGGTGAGTGTAGTGGTGAGTGTAGTGGTGGTGGTGAGTATTGGTGAGTGTAGTGGTGAGTGTAGTGGTGAGGTGTAGTGGTGAGGTGTAGTGGTGGTGAGTAGTGGTGAGTGTAGTGGTGAGTGTAGTGGTGAGTAGTGGTGAGTAGTGGTGAGTAGTGGTGAGTGTAGTGGTGAGTGTAGTGGTGGTGAGTAGTGGTGAGTAGTGGTGAGTGTAGTGGTGAGTGTAGTGGTGGTGAGTGTAGTGGTGAGGTGTAGTGGTGAGTGTAGTAGTGGTGAGTGTAGTGGTGAGTGTAGTAGTGGTGAGTGTAGTGGTGAGGTGTAGTGGTGAGTGTAGTGGTGGTGAGTGTAGTGGTGAGGTGTAGTGGTGAGTGTAGTGGTGAGTGTAGTGGTGGTGAGTGTAGTGGTGAGGTGTAGTGGTGAGTGTAGTGGTGAGTGTAGTGGTGAGTGTAGTGGTGGTGAGTGTAGTGGTGAGGTGTAGTGGTGAGGTGTAGTGGTGAGTGTAGTAGTGGTGAGTGTAGTGGTGGTGAGTGTAGTGGTGAGGTGTAGTGGTGAGTGTAGTGGTGAGTGTAGTAGTGGTGAGTGTAGTGGTGAGTGTAGTGGTGAGTAGTGGTGAGTATAGTGAGTGTAGTAGTGGTGAGTGTAGTGGTGAGGTGTAGTGGTGAGTGTAGTGGTGAGTGTAGTGGTGAGTAGTGGTGAGTATAGTGAGTGTAGTAGTGGTGAGTGTAGTGGTGAGGTGTAGTGGTGAGTGTAGTGGTGAGTGTAGTGGTGGTGAGTGTAGTGGTGAGTGTAGTGGTGAGTGTAGTGGTGAGTGTAGTGGTGAGTGTAGTAGTGGTGAGTGTAGTGGTGAGTGTAGTGGTGAGTGTAGTGGTGAGTGTAGTGGTGAGTGTAGTGGTGAGTGTAGTGGTGAGTGTAGTGGTGGTGGTGAGTATTGGTGAGTGTAGTGGTGAGTGTAGTGGTGAGGTGTAGTGGTGAGGTGTAGTGGTGGTGAGTAGTGGTGAGTGTAGTGGTGAGTGTAGTGGTGAGTAGTGGTGAGTAGTGGTGAGTAGTGGTGAGTGTAGTGGTGAGTGTAGTGGTGGTGAGTAGTGGTGAGTAGTGGTGAGTGTAGTGGTGAGTGTAGTGGTGGTGAGTGTAGTGGTGAGGTGTAGTGGTGAGTGTAGTAGTGGTGAGTGTAGTGGTGAGTGTAGTAGTGGTGAGTGTAGTGGTGAGGTGTAGTGGTGAGTGTAGTGGTGGTGAGTGTAGTGGTGAGGTGTAGTGGTGAGTGTAGTGGTGAGTGTAGTGGTGGTGAGTGTAGTGGTGAGGTGTAGTGGTGAGTGTAGTGGTGAGTGTAGTGGTGAGTGTAGTGGTGGTGAGTGTAGTGGTGAGGTGTAGTGGTGAGGTGTAGTGGTGAGTGTAGTGGTGAGTGTAGTGGTGAGTGTAGTGGTGAGTGTAGTGGTGGTGAGTGTAGTGGTGAGGTGTAGTGGTGAGTGTAGTGGTGAGTGTAGTAGTGGTGAGTAGTGGTGGTGAGTAGTGGTGGTGAGTGTAGTGGTGAGTGTAGTGGTGAGTGTAGTGGTGAGGTGTAGTGGTGAGGTGTAGTGGTGAGGTGTAGTGGTGAGTGTAGTGGTGAGTGTAGTGGTGAGGTGTAGTGGTGAGTGTAGTGGTGAGGTGTAGTGGTGAGGTGTAGTGGTGAGTGTAGTGGTGAGAGTAGTGGTGAGTGTGGTGGTGAGTAGTGGTGAGTGTAGTGGTGAGTGTAGTGGTGAGGTGTAGTAGTGGTGAGTGTAGTGGTGGTGAGGTGTAGTGGTGAGTGTAGTAGTGGTGAGTAGTGGTGGTGAGTAGTGGTGGTGAGTGTAGTGGTGAGTGTAGTGGTGAGTGTAGTGGTGAGTGTAGTGGTGAGTGTAGTGGTGAGGAGTGGTGAGTGTAGTAGTAGGAGTGGTGAGTGTAGTAGTGAGGAGTAGTGGTGAGGAATGGCGAGTTACTGGTTCCACAGGAACCCCTTCAAGTGGACTGCGCCCGTGGCGTTTGACTACAGCTGGGCCGTGACGCACAAAGACGCCCATTCGCTGTGCAGGTGAGGAGTGGTGAGGAGTGGTGGTGAGGTGAGTGGTGAGTGGTGAGGTGTAGTGGTGAGGAGTGGTGAGGAGTGGTGAGGAGTGGTGACGAGTGAGGAGTGGTGAGGTGAGGAGTGGTGGTGAGGAGTGGTGAGTGGTAGTGAGTGGTGGTGAGGCGTGGTGAGGAGTGGTGAGGAGTGGTGAGTGGTGAGTGGTGAGTGTAGTAGTGGTGAGGAGTGGTGAGGAGTGGTGGTGAGTGGTGAGGTGTGGTGAGGAGTGGTGAGTGGTGAGGAGTGGTGGTGAGGTGAGGAGTGGTGAGTGGTGAGTGGTGAGGAGTGGTGGTGAGGTGAGGGGTGAGGTGAGGGGTGAGGTGAGGAGTGGTGGTGAGTGGTGAGGTGTGGTGAGGAGTGGTGAGTGTAGTGGTGAGTGGTGAGGAGTGGTGAGTGGTGGTGAGGAGTGGTGGTGAGGAGTGGTGGTGAGGTGTGGTGAGTGTAGTAGTGGTGAGGTGTTGTGAGGAGTGGTGAGGAGTGGTGAGGAGTGGTGGTGAGGAGTGGTGAGGAGTGGTGGTGAGGAGTGGTGAGGAGTGGTGAGGAGTGGTGAGTGGTGGTGAGGAGTGGTGGTGAGTGGTGAGGAGTGGTGAGGAGTGAGGAGTGGTGAGGAGTGGTGAGGAGTGGTGGTGAGGAGTGGTGGTGAGGAGTGGTGAGGAGTGGTGAGTGTAGTAGTGGTGAGGAGTGGTGAGGAGTGGTGAGGAGTGAGGTGAGGAGTGGTGGTGAGGAGTGGTGAGGAGTGGTGAGGAGTGGTGAGTGGTGGTGAGGAGTGGTGGTGAGTGGTGAGGAGTGGTGAGGAGTGGTGAGGAGTGGTGAGTGGTGGTGAGGAGTGGTGGTGAGTGGTGAGGAGTGGTGAGGAGTGAGGAGTGGTGAGGAGTGAGGAGTGGTGAGGAGTGGTGAGGAGTGGTGAGGAGTGAGGTGAGGAGTGGTGGTGAGGAGTGGTGGTGAGTGGTGAGGAGTGGTGGTGAGTGGTGAGGAGTGGTGAGGTGAGGAGTGGTGGTGAGTGGTGAGGAGTGGTGAGGAGTGGTGGTGAGTGGTGAGGAGTGGTGAGGGGTGGTGAGGGGTGGTGGTGGTGAGTGGTGGTGAGGAGTGGTGAGTGGTGAGTGGTGAGGAGTGGTGGTGAGTGAGGAGTGGTGAGGAGTGGTGGTGAGTGGTGAGGTGAGGAGTGGTGGTGAGTGGTGAGGAGTGGTGAGGAGTGGTGGTGAGTGGTGGTGAGGAGTGGTGAGTGGTGAGGTGAGGAGTGGTGGTGAGTGGTGAGGAGTGGTGAGGAGTGGTGAGGAGTGGTGAGGTGAGGAGTGGTGAGGAGTGGTGAGGAGTGGTGAGGAGTGGTGGTGAGTGGTGGTGGTGGTTGTGAGGAGTGGTGAGGAGTGGTGAGGAGTGGTGAGTGGTGAGTGGTGAGGAGTGGTGAGGAGTGGTGAGGAGTGGTGAGTGGTGAGTGGTGAGGAGTGGTGGTGAGTGGTGAGGAGTGGTGAGGAGTGGTGAGGAGTGGTGAGGAGTGGTGAGGAGTGGTGAGTGGTGAGGAGTGGTGAGGAGTGGTGAGGAGTGGTGAGGAGTGGTGAGTGGTGAGGTGAGGAGTGGTGAGGGGTGAGGTGAGTGTAGTGGTGAGGAGTGGTGGTGAGGAGTAGTGGTGAGGAGTGGTGAGTGGTGAGTGGTGAGGAGTGGTGAGGAGTGGTGAGGAGTGGTGGTGAGGAGTGGTGAGGAGTGGTGAGTGGTGAGGAGTGGTGGTGAGGAGTGGTGAGGAGTGGTGAGGAGTGGTGAGGGTGGTGGTGAGGAGTGGTGAGGAGTGGTGAGGAGTGGTGAGTGGTGAGGTGAGGAGTGGTGGTGAGGAGTGGTGAGGAGTGGTGAGGAGTGGTGAGGAGTGGTGGTGAGGAGTGGTGGTGAGGAGTGGTGAGGAGTGGTGAGTGGTGAGGTGAGGAGTGGTGGTGGTGAGGAGTGAGGGTGGTGACTGACTGAGTGAGTGACTGAGTGACTAAGTGGGTGACTAAGTGGGTGACTAAGTGGGTGACTAAGTGAGTGTCTCACTGAGTGACTGACTGAGTGACTGACTGACTGAGTGACTGACTGAGTGACTGACTGACTGAGTGACTGAGTGACTGACTGAGTGACTGACTGAGTGACTAAGTGGGTGACTAAGTGGGTGACTGAGTGACTGACTGAGTGACTGACTGAGTGACTGACTGAGTGAGTGAGTGACTGAGTGTATGAGTGAGTGTATGAGTGACTGATTGAGTGACTGAGTGAGTGTATGAGTGAGTGTATGAGTGAGTGAGTGACTGAGTGAGTGTATCAGTGACTGACTGACTGAGTGACTGACTGAGTGACTGACTGAGTGACTAAGTGGGTGACTAAGTGGGTGACTAAGTGGGTGACTAAGTGGGTGACTAAGTGAGTGACTGACTGAGTGACTGATTGAGTGACTGACTGACTGACTGAGTGACTTACTGAGTGACTGACTGAGTGACTGACTGAGTGACTGACTGAGTGACTGACTGAGTGAGTGACTGAGTGAGTGACTGACTGAGTGACTGACTGAGTGACTAAGTGGGTGACTAAGTGGGTGGCTGAGTGACTGACTGAGTGACTGACTGAGTGACTGACTGAGTGACTGAGAGACTGACTGAGTGACTGACTGAGTGAGTGACTGAGTGACTGAGAGACTGACTGACTGAGTGACTGACTGAGTGAGTGACTGACTGAGGGACCGACTGAGTGAGTGACTGACTGAGTGACTGAGTGACTAACTGAGTGAGTGACTGACTGACTGAGTGACTGAGTGACCGACTGAGTAACTGACTGACTGAGTGAGTGACTGAGTGACTGACTGAGTGAGTGGCTGACTGACTGAGTGACTGAGTGACTGACTGAGTGACTGACTGACTGAGTGAGTGACTGACTGAGTGACTAAGTGACTGACTGAGTGACTGACTGACTGAGTAAGTGACTGACTGAGTGACTAAGTGACTGACTGAGTGACTGACTGAGTGACTGACTGAGTGACTGAGTGAGTGACTGACTGAGTGACTGACTGAGTGACTAAGTGAGTGACTGAGTGACTGACTGAGTGAGTGACTGAGTGAGTGACTGGGTGAGTGACTGACTGAGTGAGTGAGTGACTGAGTGACTAAGTGAGTGACTACGTGAGTGACTGACTGAGTGACTGACTGAGTGACTAAGTGGGTGACTAAGTGGGTGACTGAGTGACTGACTGAGTGACTGACTGAGTGAGTGAGTGACTGAGTGTATGAGTGAGTGTATGAGTGAGTGTATGAGTGAGTGAGTGACTGAGTGAGTGTATCAGTGACTGACTGAGTGAGTGACTGACTGAGTGACTGACTGAGTGACTGACTGAGTGACCAAGTGGGTGACTAAGTGGGTGACTAAGTGAGTGACTGACTGAGTGACTGACTGAGTGACTGAGTGAGTGACTAAGTGACTGACTGAGTGACTGACTGAGTGACTGAGTGAGTGACTGACTGAGTGACTAACTGAGTGACTGACTGAGTGAGTGACTGACTGAGTGAGTGACTGAGTGAGTGACTGACTGAGTGAGTGACTGACTGAGTGACTAAGTGGGTGACTAAGTTGGTGACTGAGTGACTGACTGAGTGACTGACTGAGTGACTGAGTGACTGACTGAGTGACTGACTGAGTGACTAAGTGGGTGACTAAGTGGGTGACTAAGTGAGTGACTAAGTGAGTGACTGACTGAGTGACTGCCTGAGTGAGTGACTGAGTGACTGACTGAGTGACTGACTGAGTGACTGACTGACTGAGTGACTGACTGAGTGACTAAGTGGGTGACTAAGTGGGTGACTGAGTGACTGACTGAGTGACTGACTGAGTGACTGAGTGACTGACTGAGTGACTGACTGACTGAGTGACTGACTGAGTGACTGACTGAGTGACTGACTGACTGAGTGACTGACTGAGTGACTAAGTGGGTGACTAAGTGGGTGACTGAGTGACTGACTGAGTGACTGACTGAGTGACTGACTGAGTGAGTGACTGACTGAGTGAGTGACTGACTGAGTGACTGACTGAGTGACTAAGTGGGTGACTAAGTGGGTGACTGAGTGACTAACTGAGTGACTGACTGAGTGACTGACTGACTGAGTGACTGACTGAGTGACTGACTGAGTGAGTGACTGACTGAGTGAGTGACTGACTGAGTGACTGACTGAGTGACTAAGTGGGTGACTAAGTGACTGACTGAGTGACTGACTGAGTGACTGACTGAGTGACTGACTGAGTGACTGACTGAGTGAGTGACTGAGTGAGTGACTGACTGAGTGACTAAGTGGGTGACTAAGTGGGTGACTGAGTGACTGACTGAGTGACTGACTGAGTGACTGAGTGACTGACTGAGTGACTAAGTGGGTGACTGAGTGACTGACTGAGTGACTGACTGAGTGACTGACTGAGTGACTGAGTGGCTGACTGAGTGACTGACTGAGTGACTGAGTGAGTGACTGACTGAGTGACTGACTGAGTGACTGACTGAGTGACTGACTGAGTGACTGAGTGACTGACTGGGTGACTAAGTGAGTGACTGACTGACTGACTGAGTGACTGACTGAGTGGCTGACTGAGTGACTGACTGAGTGACTGGCTGAGTGACTGACTGAGTGACTGACTGACTGAGTGACTGAGTGACTGACTGGGTGACTAAGTGAGTGACTAACTGAGTGACTGACTGAGTGACTGACTGAGTGACTGACTGAGTGACTGGCTGAGTGACTGACTGAGTGACTGACTGAGTGACTGACTGACTGACTGACTGACTGACTGACTGACTGAGTGACTAACTGAGTGACTGAGTGACTGACTGAGTGACTAAGTGGGTGACTGAGTGACTGACTGAGTGACTGAGTGACTGACTGAGTGACTAAGTGGGTGACTGAGTGACTGACTGAGTGACTGACTGAGTGACTGACTGAGTGACTGAGTGACTGAGTGGCTGACTGAGTGACTGACTGAGTGACTGAGTGAGTGACTGACTGAGTGACTGACTGAGTGACTGACTGAGTGACTGACTGAGTGACTGAGTGACTGAGTGAGTGACTGACTGACTGACTGAGTGACTGACTGAGTGGCTGACTGAGTGACTGACTGAGTGACTGGCTGAGTGACTGACTGAGTGACTGACTGACTGAGTGACTGAGTGACTGACTGGGTGACTGACTGAGTGACTGACTGAGTGACTGACTGAGTGACTGACTGAATGACTGACAGGTCTCTCCGTGAGGGTCGTGGACTTCTGTTGAAGTCTCTTGTGGCTACGGACGTCACCGAGGAAAAGATGACGGAGATCTTCACTCACTACGTGTCTCTCCTGCTGGGTCAGTCACTCACTCAGTCACTTAGTCAGTCACTTAGTCAGTCAGTCACTCGGTCACTCAGTCACTCAGTCACTCAGTCAGTCACTCAGTCAGTCAGCCACTCAGTCAGTCAGTCACTCAGTCAGTCACTCAGTCACTCACTCAGTCACTCACTACGTGTCTCTCCTGCTGGGTCAGTCACTCACTCAGTCAGTCAGTCAGTCACTCAGTCAGTCAGTCACTCAGTCAGTCACTCAGTCAGTCACTCAGTCAGTCACTCAGTCACTCAGTCAGTCACTCAGTCAGTCACTCATTCACTCACTCAGTCACTCACTCAGTCACTCACTACGTGTCTCTCCTGCTGGGTCAGTCACTCACTCAGTCAGTCAGTCAGTCACTCAGTCAGTCACTCAGTCAGTCACTCAGTCAGTCACTCAGTCACTCACTACGTGTCTCTCCTGCTGGGTCAGTCACTCACTCAGTCACTCACTACGTGTCTCTCCTGCTGGGTCAGTCACTCACTCAGTCACTCACTACGTGTCTCTCCTGCTGGGTCAGTCACTCACTCAGTCACTTAGTCAGTCACTTAGTCAGTCAGTCAGTCACTCACTCAGTCAGTCAGTCACTCAGTCAGTCAGCCACTCAGTCAGTCACTCAGTCACTACGTGTCTCTCCTGCTGGGTCAGTCACTCACTCACTCAGTCAGTCAGTCACTCAGTCAGTCAGCCACTCAGTCAGTCAGTCACTCACTACGTGTCTCTCCTGCTGGGTCAGTCACTCAGTCAGTCAGTCACTCAGTCAGTCACTCAGTCAGTCACTCAGTCACTCACTCAGTCACTCACTACGTGTCTCTCCTGCTGGGTCAGTCACTCTCTCAGTCAGTCAGTCAGTCACTCAGTCAGTCAGTCACTCAGTCAGTCACTCAGTCAGTCACTCAGTCAGTCACTCAGTCACTCAGTCAGTCACTCAGTCAGTCACTCAGTCACTCACTCAGTCACTCACTCAGTCACTCACTACGTGTCTCTCCTGCTGGGTCAGTCACTCACTCAGTCAGTCAGTCAGTCACTCAGTCAGTCACTCAGTCAGTCACTCAGTCACTCACTCAGTCACTCACTACGTGTCTCTCCTGCTGGGTCAGTCACTCACTCAGTCACTCACTACGTGTCTCTCCTGCTGGGTCAGTCACTCACTCAGTCAGTCACTACGTGTCTCTCCTGCTGGGTCAGTCAGTCACTCAGTCAGTCAGTCACTCAGTCAGTCAGCCACTCAGTCAGTCACTCAGTCAGTCAGTCAGTCACTACGTGTCTCTCCTGCTGGGTCAGTCACTCACTCAGTCACTCACTACGTGTCTCTCCTGCTGGGTCAGTCACTCACTCAGTCATTCACTACGTGTCTTTCCTGCTGGGTCAGTCACTCAGTCAGTCACTCACTTAGTCAGTCACTTAGTCAGTCAGTCACTCAGTCAGTCACTCACTACGTGTCTCTCCTGCTGCGTCAGTCACTTAGTCAGTCACTTAGTCAGTCACTCATTCAGTCACTTAGTCAGTCACTCAGTCAGTCACTTAGTCAGTCACTACGTGTCTCTCCTGCTGGGTCAGTCACTTAGTCAGTCACTTAGTCAGTCACTCATTCAGTCACTTAGTCAGTCACTCAGTCAGTCACTTAGTCAGTCACTACGTGTCTCTCCTGCTGGGTCAGTCACTTAGTCAGTCACTTAGTCAGTCACTCATTCAGTCACTTAGTCAGTCACTCAGTCAGTCACTTAGTCAGTCACTACGTGTCTCTCCTGCTGGGTCAGTCACTCAGTCAGTCACTTAGTCAGTCACTTAGTCAGTCACTCAGTCAGTCACTCAGTCAGTCACTCAGTTAGTCACTCAGTCACTCAGTCACTTAGTCAGCCACTCAGTCAGTCAGTCACTTAGTCAGTCAGTCACTCAGTCAGTCACTCAGTCAGTCACTCAGTCATTCACTACGTGTCTCTCCTGCTGGTCAGTCACTTAGTCAGTCAGTCACTTAGTCAGTCAGTTAGTCACTCAGTCAGTCACTCAGTCAGTCACTCAGTCACTCAGTCACTCACTCAGTCACTCACTCACTCAGTCAGTCACTCAGTCAGTCACTCACTACGTGTCTCTCCTGCTGGGTCAGTCACTCAGTCACTTAGTCAGTCACTTAGTCAGTCACTCATTCACTCAGTCAGTCACTCATTCAGTCACTCAGTCACTCAGTCAGTCAGTCACTTAGTCACTACGTTTCTCTCCTGCTGGGTCAGTCACTCAGTCAGTCACTTAGTCACTCAGTCAGTCACTCATTCAGTCACTTAGTCAGTCACTCATTCAGTCACTCAGTCAGTCACTCACTACGTGTCTCTCCTGCTGGGTCAGTCACTCAGTCAGTCACTCAGTCAGTCAGTTAGTCACTCAGTCAGTCACTTACTTAGTCAGTCAGTCACTTAGTCACTACGTGTCTCTCTTGCTGGGTCAGTCACTTAGTCAGTCACTTAGTCAGTCACTCATTCAGTCACTTAGTCAGTCACTTAGTCAGTCAGTCACTCAGTCAGTCACTCAGTCAGTCACTTACTTAGTCAGTCAGTCACTTAGTCACTACGTGTCTCTCTTGCTGGGTCAGTCACTTAGTCACTTAGTCAGTCACTCATTCAGTCACTCAGTCAGTCACTTAGTCACTTAGTCAGTCACTACATGTCTCTCCTGCTGGGTCAGTCACTTAGTCACTTAGTCTGCCACTCAGTCACTCAGTCAGTCACTACGTGTCTCTCTTGCTGGGTCAGTCACTCACTCACTCAGTTAGTCACTCAGTCAGTCACTCATTCAGTCACTCACTCAGTCACTTAGTCACTCAGTCAGTCACTCAGTCACTTACTTAGTCAGTCAGTCACTTAGTAACTACGTGTCTCTCTTGCTGGGTCAGTCACTTAGTCAGTCACTCATTCAGTCACTTAGTCAGTCACTTAGTCACTCAGTCAGTCACTCAGTCACTTACTTAGTCAGTCACTTAGTCAGCCACTCAGTCAGTCACTCAGTCACTCACTACGCATCTCTCCTGCTGGATCAGTCACTTAGTCACTTACTCAGTCACTTAGTCAGTCAGTCACTCAGTCAGTCAGTCACTTAAGTCAATCACTTAGTCACTCAGTCAGTCACTCAGTCAGTCACTTAGTCAGTCAGTCACTTAGTCAGTCACTCATTCAGTCACTTAGTCACTCAGTCAGTCACTCAGTTAGTCACTCACCCACCCACTCACCCACTCACCTACTCACTCGCCCACTCACTCACTCACTCACCCACTCACTCACTCACTCACCCACCCACTCACTCACCCACTCACTCACCCACTCACCCACCCACCCACTCACTCACCCACTCACTCACTCACTCACCCACTCACCCACTCACCCACTCACTCACCCACCCACTCACTCACCCACTCACTCACCCACTCACCCACCCACCCACCCACTCACTCACTCACCCACTCACTCACTCACCCACTCACTCACTCACTCACCCACTCACCCACTCACCCACTCACTCGCCCACCCACTCACTCACCCACTCACTCACCCACTCACCCACCCACCCACCCACTCACTCACTCACCCACTCACTCACTGACTCACCCACCCACTCACCCACCCACCCACCCACTCACCCACTCACCCATCCACCCACCCACTCAATCACCCACCCACTCACCCACTCACCCACCCACCCACTCACTCACTCACCCACTGACCCACTCACCCACTCACTCACTTACTCACCCACCCACTCACTCACCCACTCACTCACCCACTCACTCACCCACTCACTCACCCACTCACCCACCCACTCACCCACCCACTCACCCACTCACCCACCCACTCACTCACTCACCCACCCACTCACTCACCCACTCACCCACCCACTCACTCACCCACTCACCCACCCACTCACTCACTCACTCACCCACTCAATCACCCACCCACTCACCCACTCACCCACTCACTCACCCACCCACTCACCCACTCACTCCCTCACCCACTCACTCACTCACCCACTCACTCACCCACTCACCCACTCACCCACTCACCCACTCACCCACTCAGATACTCAGACACTCACTCACCCACTCACCCACCCACTCACCCACTCACCCACCCACTCACTCACCCACCCACCCACCCTCTCACCCACTCACCCACCCACTCACTCACCCACTCACTCACCCACCCACTCACCCACTCACTCACTCACCCACCCACTCACCCACTCACTCACTCACCCACTCACTCACTCACTCACCCACCCACTCATTCACTCACCCACTCACTCACTCACTCACCCACTCACTCACCCACTCACCCACCCACCCACTCACTCACTCACCCACCCACTCACCCACTCACTCACTCACCCACTCACCCACTCACTCACCCACTCACTCACCCACTCACCCACTCACTCACCCACTCACTCACCCACCCACTCACTGACCCACTCACTCACCCACTCACCCACTCACCCACTCACTCACCCACTCACCCACTCACCCACCCACTCACTCACCCACTCACCCACTCACCCACTCATTCACCCACTCACCCACTCACTCACCCACTCACCCACCCACTCACTCACCCACTCACCCACTCACTCACCCACCCACCCACCCACTCACTCACTCACCCACTCACCCACCCACTCACCCACCCACTCACCCACTCACTCACCCACCCACTCACCCACCCACTCACCCACCCACTCACTCACTCACTCACCCACCCACCCACTCACCCACCCACTCACCCACTCACCTACTCACTCACCCACCCACTCACCCACCCACTCACCCACTCACCTACTCACTCACCCACCCACTCACCCACTCACCTACTCACTCACCCACCCACTCACCCACTCACCCACCCACTCACTCACCCACTCACCCACTCACCCACTCATTCACCCACTCACCCACTCACTCACCCACTCACCCACCCACTCACTCACCCACTCACTCACTCACTCACCCACCCACCCACCCACTCACTCACTCACCCACTCACCCACCCACTCACCCACCCACTCACCCACTCACTCACCCACCCACTCACCCACCCACTCACCACTCACTCACTCACTCACCCACCCACCCACTCACCCACCCACTCACCCACACACCTACTCACTCACCCACTCACTCACCCACCCACTCACCCACTCACCTACTCACTCACCCACCCACTCACCCACTCACCTACTCACTCACCCACCCACTCACCCACCCACTCACCCACTCACCTACTCACTCACCCACCCACTCACCCACTCACCCACTCACTCACTCACCCACTCACTCACTCACTCACCCACCCACTCACTCACTCACTCACCCACCCACTCACTCACCCACTCACTCACCCACTCACCCACCCACCCACTCACCCACTCACTCACCCACTCACTCACTCACTCACCCACTCACTCACCCACTCACCCACCCTATAGGTTTTATTTCTGCTCCAGAAGCTTTGGGGACGGAATCTAAACTCCGTTTCCTGCAGAAGTTCAGCTGGAACAGCTCCATCACTGCTACAACCTGGTACCACCACTCACCACCATCACTCACCACCACTCACCACTACTACACTCACCACTACTCACCACTACTCACCACCACTCACCACCATCACTCACCATCACTCACCACCACTCACCACCATCACTCACCACCACTCACCACCATCACTCACCACCACTCACCACCACTCACCACCACTCACCACCATCACTCACCACCACCATCACTCACCACCACTCACCACCACTCACCACCATCACTCACCACCACCATCACTCACCACCATCACTCACCACCACTCACCACCATCACTCACCACCACTCACCACCACCACTCACCACCATCACTCACCACCACCACTCACCACCACTCACCACCATCACTCACCACCACTCACCATCACTCACCACCACTCACCACCACTCACCACCACTCACCATCACTCACCACCATCACTCACCACCACTCACCACCACTCACCACCATCACTCACCACCACCACTCACCACCACTCACCACCATCACTCACCACCACTCACCACTCACCACCATCACTCACCACCACCACTCACCACCACTCACCACTCACCACCATCACTCACCACCATCACTCACCACCATCACTCACCACCATCACTCACCACCACCACCATCACTCACCATCACTCACCACCACTCACCACCACCACTCACCATCACTCACCACCACTCACCATCACTCACCACCACTCACCACCACTCACCACCACCACTCACCACCACTCACCACCACCACTCACCACCACCACTCACCACCACCACTCACCACCACTCACCACCACTCACCATCACTCACCACCACTCACCACCACTCACTCACCATCACTCACCATCACTCACCATCACTCACCACCACTCACCACTAACACTCACCACTACACTCACCACCACCACTCACCACCACTCACCACCATCACTCACCACCACTCACCACCACCACTCACCACCATCACTCACCACCACCACTCACCACCACTCACCACCATCACTCACCACCACTCACCACCACCACTCACCACCACTCACCACCACCACCCACCACCATCACTCACCACCACCACTCACCACCACTCACCACCACTCACCACCACCACTCACCACCACCACTCACCACCACTCACCACCATCACTCACCACCACTCACCACCATCACTCACCATCACTCACCACCACTCACCACCACTCACCACCATCACTCACCACCACCACTCACCACCACTCACCACCACCACTCACCACCACTCACCACCACTCACCACCACCACTCACCACCACTCACCACTCACCACCACTCACCACCATCACTCACCACCACTCACCACCACCACTCACCATCACTCACCACCATCACTCACCATCACTCACCACCATCACTCACCACCACTCACCATCACTCACCACCACCACTCACCACCACTCACCACCACTCACCACCACCACTCACCACCACTCACCACCACCACTCACCACCACTCACCACCACTCACCACTACACTCACCATCACTCACCACCACTCACCACCACTCACCACCACCACTCACCATCACTCACCACCACTCACCACTACACTCACCACCACTCACTTTGTGTGTGTCTCTGTGTGTCTCTGTGTGTGTCTCTGTGTGTGTGTCTGTGTGTGTGTGTGTCTGTGTGTGTGTCTGTGTGTGTGTCTCTGTGTGTCTGTCTGTGTGTGTGTCTGTGTGTGTGTCTGTGTGTGTGTGTCTATGTGTGTGTGTCTATGTGTGTGTGTCTATGTGTGTGTGTGTCTGTGTGTGTGTGTGTCTGTGTGTGTGTCTGTGTGTGTGTGTCTGTGTGTGTGGGGAGCGATAGTGTAGCGGTTAGCGCGCTGTGCTATGAACCTGGCGACCCGGGTTCGATTCCCGCTCACGGACAACACCAGTGACGATTATCTGAACCGGTCCCGGGCCTCCCCTAGGTCGACTCAGCCTCAAATGAGTACCTGGTGCGGTGTGTAAACATTGCCACTAGGGAGACAAAGGCGGTCGGGCGTGGTGCTGGCCACCCACCCCCTCGTGTACCGTTCCGGCCTTCATAGGTGCTCGCTAACAGCACTTGCCCCCAACAGTCTGTTAAGGCTATATGGGGGATCTTTGTTTATCTTTGTGTGTGTGTGTCTGTGTGTGTGTGTCTGTGTGTGTGTGTCTGTGTGTGTCTGTGTGTGTGTCTGTGTGTGTGTCTAACTGTGTGTGTCTAACTGTGTGTCTAACTGTGTGTGTCTCTCTGTGTGTCTAACTGTGTGTGTCTAACTGTGTGTCTCTGTGTGTGTCTCTGTGTGTCTCTGTGTGTGTCTGTGTGTGTGTGTGTCTGGGTGTGTCTGTGTGTGTCTCTGTGTCTGTGTGTGTCTCTCTGTGTGTGTCTCTGTGTGTGTGTGTCTGTGTGTGTCTGTGTGTGTCTCTGTGTCTGTGTGTGTCTCTCTGTGTGTGTCTCTGTGTGTGTGTCTGTGTGTCTCTGTGTGTGTCTAACTGTGTGTGTCTGTGTGTGTGTCTCTGTGTGTGTCTCTGTGTGTGTGTGTCTGTGTGTGTGTGTCTGTGTGTGTGTCTGTGTGTGTGTCTTTGTGTGTCTGTGTGTCTAACTGTGTTTGTCTGTGTGTCTCTCTGTGTGTGTGTCTGTGTGTGTGTCTGTGTGTGTGTCTGTGTGTGTCTGTGTGTGTCTGTGTGTGTGTGTCTGTGTGTGTCTGTGTGTGTCTGTGTGTGTCTGTGTGTGTCTGTGTGTGTGTGTCTGTGTGTGTGTCTGTGTGTGTGTCTGTGTGTGTGTATCTGTGTGTGTCTGTGTGTGTGTCTGTTTGTGTCTGTGTGTGTCTGTGTGTGTGTGTGTGTCTGTTTGTGTCTGTGTGTGTCTGTGTGTGTGTGTCTGTGTGTGTGTGTGTCTGTGTGTGTGTCTGTGTGTGTCTGTGTGTGTCTGTGTGTGTGTGTCTGTGTGTGTCTGTGTGTGTATGTGTGTGTGTCTGTGTGTGTCTGTGTGTGTCTGTTTGTGTGTGTCTGTGTGTGTCTGTGTGTGTGTGTCTGTGTGTGTCTGTGTGTGTGTGTCTGTGTGTGTCTGTGTGTGTGTCTGTGTGTGTGTGTCTGTGTGTGTCTGTGTGTGTCTGTGTGTGTCTGTGTGTGTGTGTGTCTGTGTGTGTCTGTGTGTGTCTGTGTGTGTGTCTGTTTGTGTGTGTCTGTGTGTGTCTGTCTGTGTGTGTGTCTGTGTGTGTCTGTGTGTGTCTGTGTGTGCCGGACGGGCAACTCTGTCGTGGACAGTGCTGTGGGGGGAGTTCCAATTTTGATTGGCTCCTCCCCTCATGGCATATGTGTCCACCACAGGGGCTAAACGGGGGCTCTGGACGGGTGCGAGGGGCTGGTAACCCCTCCACCTTCAATTAATTACCACAAAACCACGAATTAAAGTGAAATATGTAACAACTAAGCTTGTGCCGGAGGCCCCGGGGGGCCAGGCGTCTATGACGTCTCCTGGCCAAACCCCAATTGGCGGAGCCAGGAGATTGAATACCTACCCTCGGGGCTACTCCAGAAACAACGAAAAGCCACTACGGGTGGCCACGTGGAATGTTCGAACGCTCACTGCAGAGGAGAGGCTGCCACTCCTCTGTCGGGAGCTGGACCGGTACCGCCTGGATCTATGCGGCATTCAGGAGGTCCGGTGGACCGGCTCTGGCTCCTGCCACCATGAGGGGTGGACAGTCCTCTACTCGGGGCAGCAGACTGCCAAACAACAGGGTGTGGGTCTTCTTTTGAACAAAAGAATGAAGGGGGCGTGGGAGCGTGGCGGTGAGGTGTGGGAAGCTGTAAGCCCCAGGCTACTTTGGGCTCGCCTTCCCATCAACCGGAGGCGAGGAATGGTGGTCGTGGTTACTTATGCCCCCACCGAAGATGAACATCCGTGGAGGGATGCAGGCAAAGCCGATGAGTCAGATGCCTTCTATGACCTCCTGTCACAGGTGCTGGCTAAAGTGGCCCCTCGGGATAGAGTCATCATGCTGGGTGACTTCAATGCCCGAGTTGGTCATGATACTGGCACCTGGTCTGGAGTGATTGGAGGGCATGGGCCAGATCAGCTCAATAACAACGGTAGGAGGCTGCTAGATTTTTGTGCAGCCCATGGGCTTGTAATTACCAACACGCTGTTCCGGCATCGGCGCATCCACACAACATCATGGATGCATGCCGGGTCCAAGCAAGAACATCTGCTGGACTACATAGTGACGGACCAGCGAATGCGAGCCCATGTCCTTGACACCAGGACCTACCGTGGAGCTGATCTGCCCTCTGACCATCGACTAGTCATCTGTAAGATGCGCCTGCCATTCTTCCACTCCGGTGGTGGGTGTACACCCAGGACCCCATTCCAACCTAAAGTGGCCTGGTCTCAGTTATCTGATGAAAGTTGCAAGCGAGAATTTCATCATCGCTTGCGGCTGGGATTGGCATCGTCCCCGACTCCTCCTGATGTCGAGGGTAAATGGGCGAGGTTTAGGACTGTGACTCATGCAGCTGCAATGGCTGCTTTGGGTACGCGGTCCAGACCTCCCCAGACACCCTGGATGACAGAGGAGTTGTTCAGGATGGTTGAGAAAAAGCGACAGGCCCACTGTCATCGGCTACAGAATCCCACGTCAGAGAATGAGGAGGCTTACCGCAGCCTTCGCTCGGAGGTTCGGAGAGCCGTGAGGCGCTGCAAGGATGGGTGGTGGTCGCGGGTTGCTGAGGAGATGGAGTCTGCCTCAGTGGCCCGTGATCACAAATCGCTATTTAACTCCATCAAAAAAGTAACCTGCAGCGCCACACCTATTACCATCATTAGGGGAAAAAACGGTGATCCAATTTCCGACCCCCAGGAACAGGTTCGCAGATTTGCTGAGCATTTCTGTGAGGTCCTGGGGGAGGGAAAATCCCACAGCCAGGAAAACATCGTGGCACAAAGTGAGGATGACCCTGCTGAGGCTGCGGTGCCTCAAATATTGGATGAAGTCACCCCCTGTGAGTGGCTGGCTGAGGTGCCATCTGCTGAGGAAGTATTGAAGGCGATCCGGAGTCTGAGACCAGGAAAGGCAGCGGGCAGAGATGATCTCCCAAGCGAAATGCTGAGGGAGGGTGGCGTTTGTGCACAGACTGCCCTATATGACATCATAACAACAGTCTGGACCACTGGACGGGTTCCGCAGGATTGGAAGGATGCCCTGGTGGTCCCCCTTTTTAAGAAGGGGGACCGCACAGACTGTAACAACTACAGGGGCATCTCACTCCTCAGTGTGCCGGGAAAGGTCCTGGCAAGGATTATTCAGCATCGCCTTGCCAGGCACGCTGAGGAGAGGCTTGCGGAGCCCCAATGCGGTTTCAGGAAAGGGCGGTCCTGCACAGATGCCATATTTTCTGTCCGTCTGCTACAGCAGAGGTGTAGGGAATTCCAACAAGACCTACATCTCTGCTTTATTGACCTGGTCAAGGCCTATGATACCATCAGTAGGCCTGGGCTCTGGGTCGTTCTTCGTGCTTTTGGAGTACCTGACCCTCTGCTCACGATCATTAAGGACCTTCATGATGGTGAGCGGGCCCGGGTAAAACTACGTGGCCGGGAGTCAGAGCCATTCCCTGTACACCTTGGGGTGCGACAGGGATGTCCTCTGGCTCCCACATTATTTAACATCTATTTTGACCACGTAGTTCGTGAAGCCTTCAATAGCTGTACCGGGGGAATCTCCATATGGTACAGATATAATGGGAGGCTAATCGATGCCCGGGTGCGGTCAAGGGATGGCTCCCTATTGCTCAACCACGTTATGTATGCTGATGACTTGGTAATAGCTGCTCAGTCAGAGGAGGAGTTGGAGACGCTGCTGCTGAGACTGGAGCGTGCCACTAAGAGGTGGGGCCTTACCATCAGCCCCACCAAAACTAAGCACCTGCCTGGGTATTTTGTACCATCGGACACTCCACCCCCACAACTCCCAATCGGTGATGGGGCAGTTGTGGAGAGAGTGGAGAGTTTCCCATACCTGGGCAGTGTGCTTATGACTGGCTCCAGTTTAACAGCAGAGGTCTCACTCCGAATCAGTCGAGCGGCAATATCTTTTCATCGGTTGCGTAACGCTGTGTGGAAGCTACCTGGTCTGTCGCTCGCACTAAGCTTCAGGTCTTCTCGGCCACGGTCATTCCCTCCCTTCTCTACGCTTGCGAAACGTGGACCCCCCTAATGGAACATCTTCGCCGGTTAGAAACATTTAGGCTGACCTGCCTACGATCCATCCTGGGTTTAACCAGACTGGATTGTGTGAGGAGCTCACAAATCCTTGAAAGATCTGGGCAGGGTCCCATCGGTGAGCTCCTCCGGCAGGCAAGGCT